GCCTCCCAAGCAGCTAGGACCACAGGCGCCCGCCACAATGCCCAGCTATTTTTTGGTTGCAGCCGTCATTGTTGTTTGGCGGGTCCGGGTTGGGGATTCAAACCCGCCACCTTAGGTGTACGTGGCTGGTGCCTTAGCTGATTGAGCTACAGGCGCCGAGCCTGTGACTAGTCTTTAAAAAAACATGATTATAGGGCGGCCCCTGTGGCGCAAAGGAGTAGGGTGCCAGTCCCACATACTGGAAGTGGTGGATTCAAACCTGGCCCCGGCCAAAAACTGCAAAACCAAAACCAAAACCAAAAAAACATGATTATAGACTCGGTGTCTATAGCTCAAGCAGCTAAGGCACCAGCCACATACACCAGAGCTGTTGGGTTTGAATCCAGCCCAGGCCTGCCAACAATGACAACTACAACCAAAAAATAGCTGGGTGTTGCGGTGGGCACCTGTGGTCTCAGCTACTTGGGAGGCTGAAGCAAGAGAATCGCTTAAGCCCAGGAGTTAGAGGTTGCTGTGAGTTGTGATGCCACAGCACTCTACCCAGGGTGATAGCTTGAGGCTCTCTTTCAAAAACAGAAACAAAACAAAAAACATGGTTATAAATCGTGACCCACAAAACTGCTCCTAGATAGATATTCCAGAGAAATTCTTACACAGGCTTATACAAGGACGTATATTAGGATGTTCTTTGGAACTCTGGGATCTCAGAAAGTGGGAGGGGAGTTAAATGTCCAGCAATAGGGGAACGGATGAGAGAAAGGCACTGGATATGCACTGTGGGATTCCATGTAACAGCTCAAACAATGATGAGGTGTATACACAGCTACATGACATTGAGGGCAAAAGTCAGAAACAGAATGAGATTTCCAGCCTAATGTTATTTGCAAAAATTTAAAGCACACACAAAAACAAATACATACACTTACAAAATACATTCTATTTTATGAGGACACATTTAAGGCCAGATGCCAAACACATTAGGGGAGTTGTCTGTGGGAGAGGGTGGTGAGGATAGAGATTGAGGAGAAAGAAGATTCAAATTAAAATAAAACAAGAGACATTGCAGAGAGAGGCTGTTTGTGGCAGTGTGCCAGGGCATATCATTACTGTAGCTCTCTACACCTTGTGTCTGAAAAATTAGAAAACCATCCCTACTGTAGGTATCTGTCCCCCTAAAATACTGAATTGAGATTCTTGAAATAATAACTAAAAATATTTGTCAAGCAACAACTCCATGTCAGGTATTATTCTAAGTACTTTACATATATTTACTATTATTTCTTTAATCCTCACAATATCTACTTGAGCCCTATGATGTACGTCTATAATTATGCCCATTTCACAGATGAGAGAAATTGAGACACATGTCAATGATCATGAGAGTGCTTATTACATACTAGATATTGTGATAACTGCTTTGCACAGCTATGATCTCCTTGAATCCTATGACAACTCTACAGGGAGATATGGTCATATATGGTTTATGGTTTATGGGTGGGGAAGAAACTGAGATTCAAGCAGTTAAATGACTTGCCGATTGTCACCCAGTTAAAGAGAGCTGGAGCTTAAACCCAAAAGCCTGCCTTTTTTTTAAGGCAGTGTCTTGTTCTGTCACCCAGGCTAAATTGCTGCATTGTCATAGCTCACAGCAACCTCAAACTCCTGGGCTCAAGTGATCCTCCTGCCTTGGCCTCCCAAATACGTGGGATTACAGGCAATTGCCATGATGCCCTGTTAGCTTTTCTATTTTTAGTAGAGATGGGGTCTAGCTCTTGTTCAGGCTGGTCTCAAACTCCTGAACTCAAGGGATCCACCTGCTTTGTCTTCCCAGAGTGCTAGGAGGCCAAGTGTTTTCCTTAATGCTTCTCCAACCCTACAGAGGACAGGAGGACAGCTTGTACCTCAAAGACCCTACAGGAACAAGTGGAAATCTCTAGAGCTGTGCAGTTTAATACCTTAGCTAGTAACATAGGTGACTATTTAAATTTAAACGAATTGACACTTTGATAAATGAAATATTGGCTTGGCGCCTGTGGCTCAAGTGGCTAAGGCGCCAGCCACATACACCTAAGGTGGCGGGTTTGAATCTAGCCCAGACCCACCAAACAACAATAATGGCTGCAACCAAAAAATAGCCGGGCGTTGTGGTGGGCGCCTGTGGTCCCAGCTACTTGGGAGGCTGAGGCAAGAGAATCGCTTTGAGCCCAGGAGTTGGAGGTTGCTGTGAGCTGTGATGCCATGGCACTGTACCCAGGGGTACAGCTTGAAACTCTGTCTCAAAAAAAGAAAAATGAAATATTCAGTTCTTCAATAGTCATATGTGGCTACTGTGTTGTACTGTGCAGATCATGGGCTATTTCCATCACGTATTTAATCAGATGCAAACAACTTGGGTTCATATCTTGTCCCTGCAGCTTGCAAAGTGTGTCTGCAGGACCTGGGGCAAGGTACCTATCCTTTTGGCCTAATTTCATTCACTTGTAAAAAGGAATACAATTCGTACTCACCTGGAAGCCCAGCCAGGAAGCAGTTGAAGCTCCTTGCTCCATTCAGGCCCCACATTTGAGGGGTGCCAAACATACAGTAATCAAGAGAAATCTTGTCATAATATAATATTTTTGAAAATCAAAATTAATGCAAAAATATCCATTGATGAACTAAATATCAACATCTTAACTGAAGGCAGGACCCGGTACCCACCTTGTTGGGATGCATGCTAGTTCCAACTGTATCAGATCCTGTCTTTGTTAAAATGATAAATTTTTGTTCATTGTGGATACCTTGCATTAATTTTGGTGGTCCTGATTATTAAGATTGACCTTTGACACCCTCTTGCATCTCCCTGTCTCCCCGCATCTCCACATCTCTTTGCATCCCAGTCTCTCTGAGTTTCGCCCCCTCCTGCATCCCGGTTTTCCGCCCCCGCTGCCTCGGGTCTTTTGCTGCATAGGCCGCCAGGTGGCGCGCAGGAACGACAGAGGAGGCGGGGAGGAGGGTCACTAGGGCTGGTGAGGTACGCTGGTGACCTGTGACGGCACGAGGTTCTACGCCTTCCCGTTGGTTAGCTCCTAGGGGCGGGGTGGGGGCGGGGCAGACTGACCTCAGACTGTCTTTTTTTCTTGAGGTTCCCGGAGGAAACAGTGGCCTGAACGCCGTCTGCTGCGACCCACTGAGGTCAGGACAGCACCCCTCACCCCGTCCCCAGCTCCCTCCGCCTCGATGGAACTCCCAAGCCCACCGCTGACCTCTGATTCCCAGCCACAGCTCATTCCCAACTTGGTTTCAAGACCAGAGGCGACCTCCAACCCTCCTGACACTTCGCCACCCACCCCAGATCTGGCCTCGTGGACGAACCCTGACCTCGTCTTTACAAGCCCTCACCTTATTTTGTCCACCCCTGACTCCAGTGTGATTCCGATGCCAACTCCAGAGCTCTCACCTCCCCTACCACCCACCTTGCCCGTAGGGCTAACCTCTGATTCCTCTGTACTGTCCGAAATGACCCCGGAATCTGACACAACCCCAGACTTGGACACAACTCCATACCCAAAAACAGTTCTAGAATCTTCCAGCTCCCCAAACCTTTCCACAAGCCCTTACCATACTACCACCCCTCACCCCACCATAACTCTTCATCCTGCCACGACCCCTCAACCTCCCACGACACCTTATCCTGTGACCACCCCTCAACTCATCACGACCCCTCAACCCATGATCACCACTGAACCCACCATGACTCCTGAACTTACCACCACCCCTCAACCCACCACTGCCCCTCAACCCACCACAGATCCTCACCTCACCTCAGCCCCTATCTTCACTTCTAAGTTTCTTCCAACCTCCTTGGGTACAGAACTTTCCTCACTCACTTCAACACCCACAAGCAAGCCCAGCCTGCCCCCTGAGCTGAGCTTCACAACACCTGCCACTCACACCTCCACTTCCCAGATGCCAACACTAGAGCCCTCTTCAACCTTAGAGTCCAACACCTCTAGTTTCTCCACAGCCCAAAGCTTGGAGCCACTGTCCACTGAAGATTTCGAATCATCAGGAAGCCAGAGCTCCAAACTAACCTCTTCACCTACCCAGACCCCACACTCAGCCTCTGACCCCATTATGACCCCTGACCTCCACCTCTCCTCCATGGCCCACCCCTTGGATCAACCTCCTCCTGACCACCTCAACTTAGGCTTACCCACTGGTCAGAGCTCAGGCCCTGTTGGCCCATGTGTGGTTCCAACACCACCTGTAAGAGTCATGGCTTGTGAGCCACCTGCTCTGATGGAGCTGGTGGCTGCTGTGAGGGATGTAGGTGGTCAGCTGCAGAGGCTGACCCATGTCCTGGAGCAGGACCGGCAGGAGCGTCAAGCCCTGGGATTGGGGCTGACCCAGCTGGTTGAAGCTGCCCAGGGTCTAGGGCAGCTGGGTGAGGTTATAAAGAGACTAGCAGAGGTGACCTGGCCCCCCAGCACACCTGTGCCAACCACTACCACCCTAGAGGAGGAGGAGAGGCCTCTAAGGGGAGATGTGTGAACTTCTTCAAGATTTGTGGGGCTTAAGCCACTCCCAACCAAAGGAAACCCCCCAAACTATTAATTAAAAGCAAGGTATGAATGGTGTTTCTGGGGATCTAGGAATCCTGGAGAGATAGAACCACAAGATTGATCTTGATTTGTGAATACCACAGACGGTATGCAAGGTGGTGGTGATGATGGTAGTGATTATGGTGATGATCATGATGGTGATGGTAATTATGAAAGTGAGGATGATGATTATGACAGTGATGATCATGAGAGAATGGTTATGGTGATGAAGCATTGATGTAATAATGGTGGTGGTAGTGATGATGGTGATTATGGTGATCATGGTGGTGATGGTGGTGATGGTGATGAGGATGATGATTGTGGTTGTTATGGTGGTGATCATGATGGTGATGCTAGTGGTGGTGGTGATCATGGTGGTGATGATGGTCACAATGGTGATAAAGATGTTCATGGTGGTGATAATTATAATGGTGGTTGTGATGATGATGAAGCTTCATGTGGATAGGAATCTTTGCCTTGTTCATGGCTGTATGCCTAGCTTTTTTTTTGTTGTTATTTGTTTTTGTTTTTGGCCAGGGCTGGGTTCAAACCCACCACCCTCAGCATATGGGACTGGTGCCCTACTCCTTGAGCCCCAGGCGCTGTCCAGTATGCCTAGATTTTAGAACAGAGGCTGACACAGAGTGCACACTCACTAAATATCCATTGAATTACCAAGTACATCATCATCACATCATAATGACTAATATGTGCTGGGTGCTTCCTATGTGTTGGCTGTTTTAAGAGATTTGCGTGGATGATGTCATTTTATCATAACAAGTGCCTGCCAGGGAGTGTACTGTTTCCATAGCTCAGCACACAAGGAGGTGAGCTTTGGAGACTGGGATTATTGAGCTTGAGTCCTTGCTGAGAATGAACATAAGTGGTTACTTAACCTCTTGGTCTGAGTTTCTCTGACTATAAAAGGGGGATAATAATAGTACATATACCTCATGGGGTTCTGTGATGATTGAATGAAAGTTAACACCTGTGAGAGTGCTGAGGCTGGGGCCTGGCACTTTATGAGTGCTCATCATGTGAGAGTGACTGTTGCGTTCATCCCCAGTTTACAGATCTGGGCACTGAGGCACAGGGAGGTTTGCTCACATGCCCCAGATCACTCAGGGAACATGTGGTGGACCATGGTTGGCTCTCAGAGCTCTTGCTCTTAAGAAAATATTACATGCTCATGTAATACTGGCTTGGGTTCAAGTCATAGCTGGGCTATGTCCCAGCCATGGAACTCTGGCAGTTTTCCTTCCTTCTCTGAGCCTCAGTTTTTTCACATGTAAAGTGGGGCTACTAATGGCACACACCTCATGGGGTTGCTGTGAGTATTAAATGAGTTAATGTGGATAAGAACAGAACTTGGCACATGGCATGTGGTTGCTAACAAGAGTGACCATTACGGTGCCTAACTGTATTTCTCCATGCCTGACACTGTGTGGACTATTAATATACTACGTCCAGTCCTCGCCACAGCCCTTCAAGGGAGAAACTTTGATCCATGTTTCAGACAAGACTCTGGAACTCAGAGAGGGCAGGCCCTCTGTTTAAGGCCACACAGCAGAGCTGAGACTCAAATCTAGAATAACTGTGATGCAAATTCCTGTGATTTACCCATGGCCTGGGGATTAAGGCTTCCATGACTGCTCATCTTTGAGTTGACAAAGATAGATAGGGCAAGCTCTGTTCTATCTCTAAATTTGCTTGCTGGCCTGTAAACTGGGGGCTGGCTTGGAAGATTCCCCACCCCCACTCTGAGTCTTGTCCCTGCTGCCTCAGGCTGGGAACCATCCCCTCCTCCTCCCCCTCTCCCTGGCTCAGAGGTCATGGAAGGTGATGGAGGCTGGCGCCCCCGCAGTCCTGCAAAGGCCAGCAGGGTCCAGTTACTTGCTTAGGGAGGGAGGGATAATGTTGGGGGGTCCTGATAGATGGACTGTCTGCTCCCGCCAACAGGCGAAGGAGCACGCTGAGAATTCTCTGTTCCCCAGATCTCATTAAGCCCTGGGACTTAAATAACTGCTGACTGGTACCCTGGGGAGGGCTGAGGGGAGGGCTTCTGCCTCCTACCCCTTCCTGCCCTAGGTAGTTGAGGGGTTATGGGAAGGAACCCCAACTCAGAAGGAAAAGGGTCCTTTTCTTTTTCTAGGTGTGGCAGGTGAAGCCTGGCTCTGGATCCTCTCCCCCCAAAGCAGCAGAGAGCCCAGTGTGGGGTTTAGGCTCCTGTCTCTTCCCTGCTACCCAAAGGAGGGGGTGCTGTTGGGCACTCTGGCCCTTGGTCGCTCCACCCCTGCCACCTTCTGCCAGTGCTGAAGAAGAGAGCACTTAATTACCCAGTCACTCTATCCCACTTGGCCAGGCGGTTAAGCCCAAACATCTGGCCTCAAGGCCCCTGGCCAGGCTGAGGGGCCAGACCCCTCCCGCTGCTGGCCCTGACCCTGGACACCTCCTACAAGATAACTGAGCTGGATCCTCTGCCTACCAACTGGCAACAAGCCCAGAACAGTAGCCACTAGGCCTAGCAGGCACAATTGATGCAAAAAAACTTGAAACAAAACATTTGACAAAATTCTTATTCACAGTTTACACATAACACTACAGAGAGAGAGAGAGAGAGAGAGAGAAAGGTGAGTGCTGTAGAGAGGACTTCCTTAATCAGGGAAAGGGTATAAAGGAAGATGTCATTATCCATGGTAGTATGTTGACAGAAACGCCCAAAGTACTGAGCGGATAAAAGATTATTATTAGTAAGAGAGTTTAGCCAGAATGCTGGATCAGTACCCTAAAATCATGTTCTCATGGTCCTGACACCTCAAAGTGTGACCCCTGGAATAGGAGCATTGGCCTTACATGGAAGCTGGTTACAGATGCAGAATCTCAGACCCAACAAGTCAGAATTGGCAATTTAATAAGATGAGCTGGCGATTCATCAGCCCATCTGGTTAAAATTCTTCAAGTCTAAGAAGAACTGCTCAGACTATTTGCCTACCTATTACTATACATACAGGCAGACTTGGAGATGTTTGCTGGTCAGTTCTGGACCCTGCAATGTAAGCATATATTGTAGTAAAGTGAGTCACGCAAATCCTAGTGCACATCAAAGTTGTAGTTACATTATACTATAGTCTGTTAAGTGTGCAATAGCATTATGTAAAAAAAAAACAAAAAAACCCCCCAGCCATACCTTAATTAAATAATACTTTAAGGGCTCAGTACCTTTAGCTCAGTGGCTAGAATGCCAGCCACATACACCAGAGCTGGCGGGTTCGAATCCAGCCCAGGCCTGCCAAACAACAATGACATCTACAACCAAAAAATAGCTAGGCATTGTGATGGGTGCCTGTAGCCCCTACCTGGGAGGCTGAGGCAAGAGAATCGCTTAAGCCCAAGACTTTGAGGTTGCTATGAGCTGTGATGCTACAACACTCTACTGAGTGTGACTTAGTGAGACTCTGTCTCAAAAAAAAAAAAAAAGGCTGAGTCAGGAGGATTGCTTGAGGTCAGGAGTTTAAGACCAGCCTGAGCAACACATTTAGACCCCATCTCTACAAAAAACAGAAAAACTAGCTAAATATGCTAACGTGCGTCCAGCTACTAGGGAGGCCAAGGCAGGAGGATCACTTCAGTCCAGGAATTGGAGGCTTCAGTGACCTGTGGTGATGCCACTGTGCTCCAGCCCAGGTGACAGAATGAGATTCTGTCTCAAACAAGAGCAACAATGACCAAAAAAAAAAAAAATTTATTGCTAAGAAATTGCTAGTAGTAGTCATCTGAGCCTTCAGGTCAGAATCTTTTTGTACTAATGGAGGGTCTTGTTTTGATGTTGACGGCTGCTGACTGATCAGGGTGGTGAGTGCTGAAGGTTGAGGAAGCTGTGGCAATTTGTTAAAATAAGACAGCAATGGGCTTGGCATCCGTAGCTCAGTGACTAGGGCGCTGGCCATATACACTGAGGCTGGCGGCTTTGAGCCTGGCCCAGGCCTGCTAAACAATGACAACTACAACCAAAAAATAACCAGGTGTTGTGGTGGGTGCCTGTAGTCCCAGCTGCTCGGGAGACTGAGGCAAAAGAATCACTTAAGTCCAAGAGTTTGCGGTTGCTGTGAGCTGTGACGTCATGGCACTTTGCCGAGGGTGATGTAGTGAGACTCTGTCTAAATAAATAAATAAGACAGCAGTGAAGTGTGCTGCCTGAATTAACTACTCTTCCTTTCCTGGAGGATTTCTCTGTACCATGAGATGCTGTTTGATAGCATTTTACCCACTGTCAAACCTCTTCAAAGTTAGAGTTAATCGTTTCAGACCCTGCATTTGTTTTATCAACTAAATTTATGTAATATTCTAAATCCCTTGTTGTCATTTCAACAATGTTCACAGAATCTTCACCAGGAATAGCTTCATCTCAAGAAACCACTTTCCCCTCCAGCCCCCGCCTTGCTTGCATCTGTACATAGTGTGAGCAGCAAGTAGCCCTTTTTTTCCTTCCTCCCCCCTCCTCAATGTAGTGGCCTCCAATATCCCGTTTGTTAATAAAGACAATTAAACCAAAAAAAAAAAAAAAAAAGAAAGAAAAAGAAAAAGAAAAAAAGAAACCACTTTCTGAGCTCATCCATAAGAAGCAAATGCTCATCTATTTCAGTTTTAACAAGAGATTGCTACAATTTGGTCACATTTTCAGGCTCCACTTTTAATTCTAGTTCTCTTGCTATTTCCCCAACATTTACTGTTACCTCCCCCACTTAAGTCTTGAACTTAAGGTCAAGCATAAGGATTGGGATCAACTTCTTCCAAACTCCTGTTCATATTGATATTTTGACCTCCTCCCATGGATCACAAATGTTCTTAATGGTATCTAAACTGACGAATCCTTTCCAGAAGTTCTTCGATTTACTTTGCCCCAAATCATCAGAAGAATCATTATCTGTGGCAGTTATCACCTTACAAAATGTATTTCTTAAATAATAAGATTTGAAAATCAAAGTCACTCCTTGATCCATGGGCTTCGGAATGGATGT